AGCTAAGCTAGCTTTAACAAGGTATTTAGGTAAGATTAGATAAAAAGCCCCAAGTTGGAGTTTGAGTTTTTGACTAGCCATCACTCTTTTTCCCTTTTCTCCTTCCATACTTTGAATTTGAATGCGAGGCTGGAACTATTGGAAAGCTTGTTTCTGGGGCTTCAATTTGGACATAAGAACGACCTAAAACGGAGTCCGAACGAGAGATTTACACCTGTTTTAATGTTGAGCTTCTGTACTGAAATCATGCTCGTTTGAGCAAGATTTTATTCGCTCGAGCGACCAAGCCGCTAACAGACAGTATAAAGTGATATTTTGGCCCAAAAACTTCATTTTTTCATCCTCTCTTCTTCTTCCCTCCTCCATGTCCAAAAACCTAGCCCCCAAAACTTTGATTTCATCCATTCTTACCAACAATCCACCATGGATCTTGCATCAAGGTTCAAGAACAAGCAAGGATCAAGGCATTGACCGATTATTTTGGGGATTTCATTGAAGTTTGAAGATGGGTCTTCACCCATAGCTTCCAATCTTGAGGTAGGGGTCCTAGTTCTCCTTCAATGCTTACATTAATAGATAGATTTGTGGTATTTTGGATTATATAAATGTAAAATCTACATTTTGAGCATACAGTGTTAAATCATGAAATTTTGGGATTAGGGTTTGAAATGTGGGGGTTCTATTATTGGGTTTAGATTATGGATTATGGACCTACCAGGTTTGATCACCAAGCTTAAATTCAACCCCAAATGCAACAAACTCAATTTTCTGGGCCCAAAACTTGAGGAAATACATGAAGACTCATAAAACAACATGTTTTGAAGATCATTTTACAAAATCAAAGTCCAGAAGTATGCCAATTGAGCAACATTCAACTTGAAACTTGAAATTAATTCATGAACATAACATGCATGTACATTTTTGAGCTAAGGCTCTCCAAAACATGATCAAATGCTACTAAATAACATGAAACTCATTGTGTTTCCAAAATTAGAGTGAACTCAACACATGTATAAAGGAATTCTTGAAAATCAATCTTCAAAATGCTATGAAACATGCATGCATGCGTGGATTAATCTACTTCCCTACTCCTTAAGCTTGATTCTCACATCTTATAGCTCAATTTACTTGAATTCATGCATGAACAACTTAAATCGACAACTAAAAGAATGAATTTCCCACCTTAAGTCTCGAATTCCAAGTATGCTAACTCAATTTTGCAAGTTCTCTTCAATTCTTCTAACTTCCAAAGCCAACTCTTATTGAATCAAAACTTTTCTCCTACTCTCCCTCTCTCTCTCGGTTTGGTCTTGTGGATGGAGAATAGTGGGGAATCAAAGTGTATGAATTAAGCCTCAAACAAAACTTTTGAAAGGGGCCCACTAATGGCAAGAATGAAATAAACTCAAACTAATGTAGTTTAACCTCATTTATTCTAATTTAATCGTTCTGAATCGAATTTTAATTAAACCTGCCATAAAATTCTATAAATCCTAATTAGCACATAAATCAAGTCAATTTTTGATTCCAACGCCGATAAGGCTTTCAATTCGTAAACCGAAACTAAAACGTGAACAGATCTTTCTATGCCTAACAGATATAGACACAAACAATGCATCACACACATGCAGTTTAATGCAAAATTCACCTCAATTGCTAAATAGGCATAATTAATCATGGATTCACGTTAATTAGAAGTTGGGGTTGTTACACTCTGTGTCTAATATTTTCTTTCTCTGATGTATATGCTCTATATACGTATAATATCTATATATGTATATAATCTGTAATGAGAAAGAAAAAAAAATGCCGCAAAAAGAGATACAACAAGAGCTAGAAATACCTGTACAGTTTTGTTAATGATTAAACTTAATTCAAAAATTTTTTTTTTTTCAAGATTTGCCAATAGAACACAAAACTTGTTGCATACACCTAAGACAAAAAAAATATTTTCTATTTGCATACTGGGAAAATTGTAGCCTGAAAATGAAATGGTAAAGTGTAAATTCAAACTTGGAGTGGTGTGATCACATTGAATAAATCTCATCCACACATTTTATTTTCAGATTTTTTTTTTCTTGGATATATTGTTAAAAACTGAAACTTTTGTAGGTTTAGGTTTATCCAAATATCAGGGGACCCCAAACACCAAAATCATCCCAATCTACTCTGTAATTCCTTCCACTAGAGCTATTTTTCGCTTAGGAAATTAAGATATAAAGATTCAGTAATTCAATTTCTCCTCCTTTTTTAGGGGGTGTGTTTTTTTTCTTTGAAACCAAACAGAAGAAGGAAAATGCAAGAAAAATAGTAATATGGGGGTGTACCTGGGGAAGTAGATAGGGGAAGAATGTGATTGGAGAAGAACCAGTGATGATCGTAGAGCCACTAGATGATGAACCATTTTTCTCTACAATACTAGTATTTGTTTTGTTTGATCTTTCTCTTTAAATATCTCCAACAACAATGGAATTGCCTTCTACTTCCACCCCTCTCTCTCTCTCTCTCTATCAGTTTAAGGTTTGTACAGTTACCAATGCCATACAGGACCAGACAACTGTTTAGCTTTTCCACTATATTCTAGTATATATGTATAACTTCCGCAACCTCTGCTTTCTGTGTCTAATATTTTATATATATATAACATGTTCCTCTGTTTTCTGTGTCTAACATGTTCCTCTTTCGTTAAAGTTATATATATATAGTGTCAATAGGGTAGTCTAGAAATATATTAGTCTTGGGTTTGTGTCATTGGGTAGTCTTTAGAAATATATTTAATCTTGTAGTTGAAGAGTGATGTTGTGAAGAGTGAATGTTGTTCAGATGATGTAATACGTATGTACTCCTCTTATGAAGTCGACTTAAGCATGTAATAACAGAGTGAAGTTTTACTCTTTTCCTCCACTTCTTGCCAAAAGTCCACGATGTAAAACTTTAAGGTGGTATGGTAGGAAAGCAAATCTAATAGAGTGGTGTTATGAACTAATTCTAGACATTTCTCCATCTGTGTAATTAAAGAGTCTACTTGTGAAAATATCATGCAACTAGTATGAAAGGTATCTTGGGTAAATAGAGTTTAGTGTGGAAAAACATTTTATCTCCCTTGTCCATAATCTCACTGAAGTTCACTGCAAAAATATAAGCCATTCTAATTTCAACATAGTAGAAGCAGAAAAATTCACCAAAAGCCTAATGCTAATAGGCCAGGCGTACCTGGTGCTTCACAGTTTAGCCATTCTAAAATGCAACAAATGGTGCTTCACAATTTCTTTTGCACCATGCTTGCACATTAAATATCATTTACGGAGAACATTTCCCCTCATCAAATTGTGAACTGTTAAGCTTGCATCTAATGGTGTTCTGTCCGTGCAAAGAAATACACCTTTGAAAAACTTTGGCATGCCTATGCCCGAGGAAAATCTGACATCATTGTTACAAAAAATAATATAAAACAACAACTAATCTTGTATTTCGATTTATCCTCACACCAGCCTCTGCTCTCTAATATATATTTTCTCTTGTTAGTATTCGGTTTGATTAGTTGTTTAATTTAATTTGAAGATTATAGAACACTATACACTTGGTGATTTTTCTTGATTTTTTAATGATCTTTTTTGGTAAAGATGTGTTAAAATCAATAATGATCTTTTTTGTTCCTAATCTTTCATTTGTGATCAGACATGGATAAAAGTTAGATTGTCCTAGATAGGACTGTTGATGAAAGGATGAGTAAACCATATAATGATGGTGTCAAGTTATTTCTTCAATTTGCAATGGGGGTTTCAGACCAGAATGGTAATATTTTGTGCCTATGTATAAAGTGTGAATGTTTATAGACAAAATCTTCAAAATGTGAAAATTCATTTGCTCCAATATGGGATTATGCAAACTTACAATATATGGCACCAGCACGGGGAATCTCGTGTTTCAAACGAGTCTTACCATGATGACGAGATGCGACTTGATGGTGATGAAATTGTAGGTGGTATTGAAGCCTTAGTAGAAGATCGAATAAGAGGGGAATCGAATGATACAACCCAAGGAGAGGAAGTGAGAACTTTTGATCATATATTGACTGATGCCAAGCGTAAGTTGTTCCCAAATTGTAAAAATTATACTTTGTTGAAGTTTGTGATTGAGGTGCTTAATATGAAGGTAACAAATCATTGGAGCAATAAGTTAGTTGATATGATACTAGAGTTTTTAAGCAAACTTTTACCGAAAGAAAATTTAGTTCCAAAGTCAACTTATGAAGCTAAGAAAATACTACATGACTTGGGCTTGTCATATGAGCTCATTCATGCTTGCATAAATGATTGTGTATTATTTTGGAAGGAGAATGCAACATTAGATAAATGTCCGACTTGTAAGACGTCTAGATACAAGATCAATCGTGGAAGGGGTAAGAAGATCCCTCATAAAGTATTGCGGTACTTTCCTTTGATACCAAGGTTGAAAAGATTATATATGTCAAGGAAGAGGGATGAGGACATGAGATGGTACAAAGACAAACGAATGGACAACGAGATATTGAGGCATCCTGCTGACAGTGATGAGTGGAAGGAGTTCGATGCACAACATCCCGAGTTTGCCTTGGAGCCTGAAAATGTGAGGCTAGGGTTGGCCGTTGATGGGTTTAACCCTTTTGGAAACATGAACAACTCTTATAGTTTATGGCCCGTCATACTCATTCCATACAACTTGCCTCTTTGGTTGGTTATGAAGGATCCATTTTGTTTGATGTCATTACTTATTCCCGGAGAATCTTAACCAGGGATTGATATTGACGTCTACATGCGACCATTGGTAGATGAGTTGAGTGATTTATGGACAAATGGTGCATTAACTTACGACGCCTCCACCAATGAGACTTTTCGAATGCATGCAGCTTTGTTATGGACAATACATGATTGGTCTGCATTTGGTGACATATCTGGGTAGAGAACACTTGCAATGATGAACCGTATTTTGAATCGTATTTTGAATCTTTGAGAAGTAAGATGGGGTACACTAACCATCGATATTACTTGCTTAAGGACCACCTAGAAAGGCGAAAGAGTAGGGCTTACAATGGTAAGATTGAGAAATGGAAGAGATCTTTGGAGTTGCCGGTGAAAAAGATACATGACCAGTTGGACAACGTGACAGGTGTCATATATGGAAAGCATCCAAGTAATAGAAAAAGGCCCCGTCAAGCACCTAATTGGACAAAGGTAAGCATTTTGTATGAGTTATCCTATTGGAAGAAACGAAAACTTCGACATAACATTGATGTCATGCATGTGGAGAAAAATTTTAGTGAAAATGTTTTTGGAACTATGTTAGGCATTGATGGAAAGAACAAGGACACGGACAAGGCACGGTTAGACTTGGAAGATATGGGTATATGGAAAGAGCTATGGCTAACACAACGACCCAATGGGTCATATGTCAAGCCTTGGGCAAGCTTTTCATTGACACCTGCAGAGAGAGAGGGTTTCTTTGAATTTTTAAAAACTGTCAAGTATCTAGATGGATATGCGGCAAACATGTCCAAATCAGTGAATGCAAGAAATGGTAGACTAACAGGCCTAAAAAGCCATGACTGCCATGTACTGATACAAAGAATTCTTTCCATTGGAATGCGTGGTTACGTGGATAAAGAAATTAGCACATCACTTTTTGAGTTAGGCAATTTCTTCCAAGACCTATGCTCTAGGACACTAAGGCGGAGCGAACTGGAGAAATTAGAGGAACGTATAATACACATTTTATGTAAGCTTGAAAAGATCTTTCCTCCAGCCTTCTTTGATGTGATGATCCAGTTGGCTATTCATTTGCCTTGTGAGGCTATTTTTGGAGGACCCATACAATATCGATGGATGTACCCAATTGAAAGGTATTTTTTACACTTATACTTGTAAATGAGATTTGCATAAGTGTGTTGCATATGTAATTATACTCCTAATTCGTTCTCTCTTGAAGGTTTCTTGGAGCATTAAAAAAATATGTGACCAATCGAGCTCGACCAGAAGGTTCAATTGCCGAGGCCTACATTATCAAAGAGTGCATTACTTTTTGTTCAATGTATGTTGTTGGGATTGAAACTGTGCATAATCGACCAGAACGGAATGAAGATCGCGATGAACGTCAACAAGGGTTGACAATATTCACAGAAACTGCACGTCCAATTAGTCTAATCACACGAGATGCTGAAATGTCTCAAGAAATTTGTGATATTGCTCATTGGTTTGTGTTGCACAATAGCCCGGAGATTGAAAAGTATTTGGAGTATGTGTTTCATTGAATTATGTTTATGCTTAGCTTTTTTATTTTCGGAACTATGTAGTAATCACTTTTTTTTTTTGAGTAGGAAACACAAAAATCTATTACAAACTCAAGCTGGACATGACATAACCCATATACAATGACAAGAATTTCCCAAGTGGTTCAAAGAGAGGGTACAACATTTATAATTTTTCAACATTTACAACTTAAACAAAATTAAAGTTTTATAAAATGTCGTTATTCATAAATTATTTACTTATTGTTTGTTACATGTAATTGTAGATAAATAGATTGAGAATGGAAGAGTCATCAGAGGCAACTGATGAATTGTGGTCATTAGCAAATGGTCCTAATTTGCTTGTGAAAGAGTACTCAGTTTGCATAATCAATAGCAGCCGGTTCCATACTCGAGATCTAGACAATCGTCATACGAGTCAGAATAGTGGTGTGCTTATACAAGGGGATCATGAAGGAAAATTGCATGACTTCTACGGTCACTTGTGCAAGGTGTTAGAATTTGACTACCTATGTGATAAAAAGGTTGTTTTGTTCCAGTGTGAATGGTATAACACCGGTAACACTGGTAGAAACAGAACAATACGATTTGATACATATTGCACAAGCATTGACGTCACAAGTCGGTGGTACCAATCTGACCCATTTATCCTACCTAGTCAAGCTAATCAAGTCTTCTATCTGAATGATACCAAATTGGGTGAACCTTGGAATGTCGTGCAAAGGGTACAACATAGGGGTGTCTTTGATGTTCTAGACACTAGTGATGGAGAATTATTAGATTCTTCAGAAAATAATGATGTGTTCCAACAAGAAAACATTACTGATGTTGTTGTTCCAATTGACATTGACCCAATTGTTCAATACTGTAGGGATGATGTTGAATTCAATGTTATTTCGGAAGTAAGGTCATTAGATGAGATAATGGAAGAGAATAGAGATGATGAAGGAGATGAAGAACATAACATTCCTGATGTTGATATGGATCCTGATATGGATTAAGATATGTAATTTTTAGTATATTACTTTATTTTCGAACAGATGTTATTAATTAATGTAATTTTTATTTTATATGTTTATGTTACTTTTTGTTTCTTCTTTTATTTAATGGTGCATGATGACATTGTCTATATTTTTCAATTAAAGTTGAATTATGTTATATAGTTGTAGAAAATGGTTCAAGGCAAAAAATAATGGTTGAAACCAGGTGATTTGAGAACTAAGAAGCTAACAGAATACGAGAAACAAAGAAATAAGCGAATCAAGGAGAACGTGAGGTAATGAACAATCTTGGAGCGGAGATATGATACAAATTCTTTAGTGATGGGTTCAGCCCAAATGTGCAATTGCAAGGGAAAAGGGAATTAGGGTTGAGGTAGATGATGATGTTGAGTATAACCCTTCAGAGAGTGAGGATGACAATGATGATGAGTCATTGGGTTCCTTTGACCGCGAGGTATTATGCACATTATTTTATATGTGTGTGAACATGTCTTTTACTATTTACATTTCTTCTTCACACATCTTACACATCATATTTTTTAAAAAATATATTTTAACTGTTTTAAATATCGTTTTTACTGTTTGATTATGTTCTTTCAAGAACAAGAGATGGCACCAGGACTCCGTTTACGATCTCATTCAAGGCCATTAACTCCCACCCCAGAGGAAAGGATGGATCCCCCAAGTCAGGAGGTCGGTACCTAACCCTTACCATCTCATAATGTGCAACCTAAGGACGAGGTGACTGCATCTAGCATCGTTGGTAAGTTTGCAAAGTTGTAATTATTATTTAACTTGCATTTGTTTAATTACTAACTCAATTAATATTATGCCATTACAACATCAGATAACAGACGTGGTTATGGCCCGACACGTGGCATTGAGGCCCATCGCATTGTCGAGAAGGATGGGAAGATGTTAGTTCCTATACCTGAACAGTTTCGTGCACCAGTAGGAGACAACGCCTCTAAGTTAGTCTCCAAGATTGGTATAGAGGTTCCAATGCAGTTACCAGACCTGAGCGTTTGTAGGTGGAAGAATGTGAATGCTGCTGATAAGGAGCCGATCATCTAACGCTTATCGGTAATTATCGACAAACTCTTTTCATGTTTAGGCTCTGGTACTTTTTAATTTTTATTTTTATTTTTATTTTGCAGGATTAGTTTGATCTACAAGGCAATCGGGCTGATGTAGCAAAGGCTTTAGACACACAATTTGGTCGACGATTGAGTGGTTTCACCTATAAGTTGCACAAACAATACAAGCAACTTAAGGATGCAAGAGGGGAGGATTACGCAAAAAGCCACCCACCTGCAAGAGTTACTCTCAATCAGTGGACATCTCTAATTAACAAGTGGAATAGTAAAAAATTCAAGGTAAAATGTTTTATATATGTTAATTGTCAAAAAGTAAGTTTATTCTTACTAATGTTATCTTTTCTTGTTTGTATTGGTGTTTCAATTGTGTAGGAACAATCACTAGCTAATGTGAATAATAGGATGCAAATGAAAACAAAACATCGATGTAGATCAAAATCAATCCCGATCAGGGTACACAGCTCGGTGCGTTCTACCAATTTATTTTATTGGATTAGTAGGCTTTGTTATTTAAATAATTGAAATAACATTGAAAAACAAATAAAGCAGATAATTGAAAATGGCAAAGTTCCCGATTTAGCAGAATTTTACAAGTCCATCCACTACAATTCGGACACGCATGAATGGATTTCCTCGGAGAGCCAAGTTAATTATATATGTACAAGGCAATGCCTTTCAATTTTGATAATATTATTTATTTTGCTGTGTAGGGTAGAATAACTAATATTTGATTTATTTCAAATTAATAGGACAACATGATACAAACGCAAGCAGAACACCTCTCGCAGACTAGTGCAATCCCCTTGACTCCAGAGGAGTTGTCAGTCAAGGTGCTTAAGTCAAGGCCAGGTTATGTGAAAGGACTCGGCATGAGGCCATCTTCTTCTGTGAACACAACTGTTGCACCAGCTGAAAATACTGACTATGTTCAACGCCTCGAGCTACAAATAGCACAACCAAATGAACAAATTGCTAGGTTTGAAAAGTCATAGAAGAAACAAAGCAAGAAGATACAAAGTATCATAGAGTGTTTGAGGCAGAAATGTATCACGGGAAATTTTGAGGGTGGGGAAAGTTTAGATTCTGATGGACAAGCTTCTTGGTTAGTATATTATGTTTCTATGTTAATTTAATAGAAATTTCTTCTTCAACTAAGATAGTCAAATATGCATGTACAAGCCCGAGAAACATCACAAACGCTGAAATATGCAAGTGGCACCCAATTAGGAAACTACTTTAAAATTTGCACTATTCCAACATTTAGGCATGAAACTAAGTTCAAAAATAAACTTTTCTAACGCTTAAGCTTGAAACTAGGCCATCGGAGGCCAAAACCATGCAACGGCCACGAGACGGCCCGGGTAACACCTCTAACACCTCGGGAGGGACTAATGTGAGTTGTGAAAACTTACGAAACTAGCACGGGACTGCCGGTTTAAAAACTAAGTCAAAAAATGCACTTTTTCACACTTAAGCTTGAAAAATAGGCCATCGGAGACCAAAACCATGCAACGGCCATGAGACGGCCGGGGTAACACCTTAAAAACCTCGGGAGGGACCAATGTGAGTTTTGAAAACTTACGAAACTAGCACGGGACTCTCGGTTTGAAAAGTAAGTCCAAAAATGCACTTTTTCACACTTAAGCTTGAAAAATAGGCCTTCAGGGGCCAAAATCGTGTAACAGTCATAAGACGGCCTGGGTAACACCTCAAACATGTCGGGAGGGACCAATAAGAGTTGTGGAAACTTACGAAACATGCACGAGACTACCGGTTTGAAAACTAAGTCTAAAATTGCATTTTTTCACACTTAAGTTTGAAAAATAGGCCATTGGAGGCCAAAATCGTGCAACAGCCATGAGACGGCCCAGGTAACACCTCAAACACCTCAGGACGGACCACTTTGAGTTATGAAAACTTACGGAACTAGCACGGGACTCTCGGTTTGAAAACTAAGTCCAAAAATACACTTTTTCATACTCAAACTTGAAAAATAGGCCTTCGCGGACCAAAATCGTGTAACATCCACGAGACGGCCCGGGTAACACCTCAAACATGTCGGGAGAGACCAATGTGAGTTTTGGAAACTTACGGAACTAGCACGGGACTCCTGGTTTGAAAACTACATCCAAAAATGTACTTTTTCACACTTAAGCTTGAAAAAAGGCCATCGGAGGCCAAAATCGCACAACAACCACGAGACGGCTTGGGAAACACCTCAAACACCTCGGGAGAGATTAATGTGAGTTGTGAAAACTTACAGAACTAGCGCAGGACTCCCGGTTTGAAAACTAAGTCAAAAATGTACTTTTTCACACTTAAGCTTGAAAAATAGTCCATCGGAGGCCAAAATCGTGCAACAACCACGAGACGGCCTGGGGAACACCTCAAACACATCAAAAAGGACCAATGTGAGTTATGGAAACTTACGGAACTTTCACGGGACTCCCGGTTTGAAAACTAAGTCAAAAATTATACTTTTTCACACTTAAGCTTGAAAAATAGGCTATCGAAGGCCAAAACCATGCAATGGCCATGAGACGGCCGGGGTAACACCTCAAAAACCTCGGGAGGGACTGTAACAAGCCCGCGGGGGACCTCGCTACAGCTCGGACTCGACTTTCTTTAGTCACGGTTCTAAGTCTGAACCAAAGAGTCCAAATCCGGCAAATCGTTTTGAGAAAACTGATTTTTGAAAGAAGTGCCAAACATGGACTGCTTTGCCAGATACAGAGTCGCCACCTAAATGTTTTTTTAATGGGAAATTTAGGAAACCCTGACTCGGTGCCAAAGGCCACGTGTCCGTCATCACCAAAGTTGCCTCGGCTCGGGAACTTGGGTACGATTGGGGAAGGTCACTTCGTGAGCACCCCCGCTCGCCCGATCAAAAATCGGCCTCTACTAACCATGATATCTATTTTTGAAAACATTGTATGTTCTTATTCCGGTTATTAGCCTAGATTACTATGTGATGCTTACAGCATATAAGTATAGACTGAGTTGCCTGAATTGGAACAAAACATTTCATGTTTGTTTATTTGAAAGTGGTTTGATGGTGCTACCCGCAAGTAGGCTAAGACGTGGATTTGCCACCCTCGGGTGGGCTTAGAAAACATGATTTTGCCACTATCTAGTGGGCTTAAAACAAACAATTGATGAATTATTCCAATTCAAATAACCCAACCTTCACCCACAGGCATTCAGGCAGTTATATCACATTAGCAATTAGCCTCATGGTAAGCATGCTATTCATGGCAGTCACTCACACGCATGCAAGGATGCTAAAGCATAAAACTTACCGAGTACTCCAAGCCAAAATAGAAACTATATTAGAAATCATGCATGATCCTAAGTATACAGAAATGCCTAATGCAACACATGCAAAAATGTAGACTATAACAGGCTCGGCTATTCTAAAATGACATATGAAATGTTACAACTATCATGTATTCAACTTGGAATTGAAAGTACAATGCAGTTAGTATGATGCGCCGAGCCCGGTGCATGCAAAACAGATGAATGATGCAACCATGCTATCATACTGCATGCTAATTTAAATATGCCCTAATCTAACCATCATAAGCGGATAAATAAAAGGGAGAAAGACGTGGGGTTGGAAGACATACAACACACACACGCACACTTATTACAGTTGTGCCCTCGCGCAGAGGGTCCGAATAAATATACAGTCTGAATATTACAGTCTCGAATAAAAGAATATTACAGTCCAAAATATTACAAAATCCTAATTAATTAACAAATTAATTAAAAAAAATAAATAAAACTGGCGTGCAAGTCAGGGACTGCCTTGCTTCTGATGGATGATGCATATCCGGGTTGCCTTGGGCGGAAATCCACCGGAATGCCCCAATTAGCCTCTGTTTACACTTGTTCTTGAAATGC